TGGGGGTTGTCCACTGACTCAGGCAGCCCCTCTGGTCACCAGAATGGATGTGCAAACAGTGGGGGGCCAATGAACATATACCAAAAAGAAAATCAGGACATAGAAAAACCGAAAAAGTGTATTGTCCACCTTTGCTCTGAGGTTCCTGCAGCGTTTTTCCATGGTGTGTCTGCTCCCCCAACTTGGTCTTGCCATTTGGTCTTGCCCAAGTTGTTGGCTCCGGGCCGCTGAGCCCAGCAGATTCAAAAGTACATGATTTCTTACTTTTGCTACAAGTTCCACTAGCTATAAGCCTTCAAACTTTTTAAATATTCCTAGATATATGATTCAGAGTTTTGGAGCTCTGCCCTGAATCTGCTTTGCCTGGTATTCTGTGGTATTGCTGATGGAGAACCTCACTGCACCTCCACCCTAGCAGCCATCAAGCCCCGCCTCCTCCATCTTCTCTTGATGTTTTCTGCATCATTCAATAATTTGTCCAGAGAATCCTTCAATGATGAAAGTCAAGGTTTGAATTTTTTCTCTAGTTCCCTTAGCTTAAGAAATGCTGAGCATGTTCTTACCTTTTGGTTTTCTGACGCCAGATATTTGTACATTTCATTGTAATATTTGACTTTGTCTTCTCAAGCTGTCCTTTAAATTTTTCTTTTCAGCTCGTGAATCTCCTCATTTCTTCCATTTGCTTTAGTGTCTCTATACTGGAGAACAAGTTTCAGAGTCTCTTCTGATATCCATTTTGATCTTTCCCCTCTTTCTTGTATTCTTAATGACTTTTTGCTTTCTTCATGTATGATGTTCTTGATGTCATCCCACAACTCCTCTGGTCTTTAGTGTTTAATATATCAAATATGTTCTTCAGATGATCTCTAAGTTCAAGTGCGATATATTCAAGGTCATATTTTGGCTCTTGCTGACTTCATTTTCTTCAGCTTCAGTTTGAATTTGCATATGAATAATTGATGGTCTGTTCCACAGTCTGCCCTTGGCCTAGTTTTGACTGATGATATGGAGCTTTTCCACCTTGAACATATCCCACCTGAATTTAGAGATCATCTCAAGGACAGATTTGATGCATTAGACACTAATGACTGAAGAGCAGGAGAGTTGTGGGATGACATTAAGAAGATCAATCATATAGGAAGAAAGCAAAAGGTCATTAAGAAGGAAAAGACCAAAATGGATGTCAGAAGAGACTCTGAAACTTGCTCTCCAGTGTAGAGATGCTAAAGCAAATGGAAGAAATGAGGAGGTAAAAGAGCTACAAAGAAAATTTCAAAGAGCAACTCAAGAAGACAAAGTCAAATATAACAAAATGTCCAAAGACCTGGAATTAGAAAGCCATATGGGAAGAACACGCCCAGCATTTCTCAAGTTGAGGAAATTGAAGAAGAAATTCAAACCTTGATTTGTGGTATTGAAGGATTTATGGGAAAAATATTGAATGATGCAGAAAATATAAAAACAAGATGGAAGGAATACACAAAGTCACTGTACCAAAAATAAATGGTCAATATTCAACCATATCAAGAGGTAGCATGTGATCAAGAGCCAGTGATACTGATAGAAGAAGTCCAAGGTACATTGAGGGCATTGGCAAAGAACAAGGCTCCAGGAATTGATGGAACACAACTTGAAATCTTTCAGCCAACCAATGCAGCACTGGAGGTACTCACTCATCTATGCCAAGAAATTTGGAAGACAGCTACCTGGCTAACTGGAAGAGGTCTATATTTGTGTCCATTTAAAGAGAGGTGACCCAATGAAATGCGGAAATCATCAAACAATATGATTAATGTTGCATGCAAATAAAATTTTGCTGAAGATAAGTAAAAACCGACTGCAGCAGCACATTGACAGGGAATTGTCAGAGGTTCAAGCTGGATTCAGACAAGGACATAGGAAGAGGAATATCAGTGCTGACGTCAGATGGGTCTTGGCTGAAAGGACAGAATGTCAGAAAGATGTTACCTGTGCTTTATTGAGTACACAAAGGTTTTCAATTGTGTGTATCATGACAAGCTATGGACAACATTGTGAAAAAGAATATTTTGGAACACTTTATTGTGCTCATGAGGAACCTGTACATGGACCAAGAGGCAGGTGTTTCAACAGAACAAGAATATACTGACTACAAAGGCAAGAAGTGACTGGCTTAGAAGCTTTCAAGAGGGAACGTAGATACAGAGGAACTGGAGGAAGGTAGAATCTCCAGTGTGTAGTATTCAATCTGACTAGCCGGGGCTGATGCAATGAAATGCACACAGGTCTTTTGTGATACAATAGTGAATAATTGTTATCAGGACTGATTGTGAGGGTTGGAAATGCAAAGGTAGACGTTTTATAGCAAGGAAGGGAGTGATAAACTTTTCAGTCTAGGAGCGGAGGTCCCTAGGACCATCAAGGGAGAAGAGCAGACAGCGAGACCCTATCCAGAGAAGCAGTGATGCCTGAAATGGAGGCAGAGATGATGATGTGGAGCAATGGAGCAGCTGGAGACTTTAGATCCAGAGAGGGAGAGCGACTGTGTGCTGAAGACCTGGGGGGCATGGGGCTAGGATTGCATGGAGGGGATTGTAACCATGGCAATGAGATGATATATGATAGAATGAATGTAAAACCAATGTTATCCCATGTAAACTATCACATAATTCACAATAAAACATTAAAAAAAAAAGAATATACTGAATGGTTTAAAATTAAGAAAGGTGTGTGGCAGGGTTGTATTGTGTTACCATATTTGTTTAATTGGTATGATGAACACATAATCTAAGAATCTGGATTATATGAAGAATAATGTGGCATCGGGATTAGGGGAAGACTCATTAACAACTTAGAGATGCAGATGATACAACCTTGCTTGGTGAAAGTGACGAGAACTTAAAATGCTTACTGATGAAGATCAAAGACCACAACCTTCGGTATGGGTGCAACTCAATGTAAAGAAAACAAAAACCTTCATCTCTGGACCAATAAACAACATCCATATAAATGGAGAAAAGATTGAAGCTGTCAAAAGAGTTCATTTTGCTCAGATCATCAACACTCATGGAAGCAGCAGTCAAAAATCAAAGGATGTATTGCATTAGAGAGTTCTGCTGCACAAGACCTCTTTAACGTGTTCAAGAGCCAAGATGTCAGTTTAAGGACTTGACTCAAACCATTGTATCTTCAATAACCTCTTAGGCATCTTCAAGGAAAATTGGGACTTGTCAAAATGAAATGGAACACACCAACATTGACATGGTAGGCATGTTTAATAAGGTGGAGGGACTGAGATAAAGGGAGATCCTCAGCGAGAAGGACTCGTACAATGGCAGCAGCAATGGGCTCAAGTGTAGCAACAACAGTGAGGATGACGCAACAGACGGTGTGTCGTTTGGTGTTGAGCATGGGGTCACTAGGAGTCAGAATCGACCTGATGGCACTAACCAACAATAATAGTTTTATACTTACCACATTCAAATCCATCTCCCCACAAAGGTAGCGAAATTCAGTGTCTAGTAAGTTCTGAAATATTGCAACTTAATATGGGGAGGAAAGGGGTGTGGTGGCTCCATAGGATAAGCATTGGGTTATGAACTACAAAGTCGGCGGTTCGAGCCTACCAGCCACTCTGAGGGAGAAAGATGACTTCTGCTCCCACAAAGATTTAAAGCCTTGGAAACCCAATACAGGGTCGCTATGAGTCAGAACCAGCTCAACAGCACTTATCAACAACAGCGGCAGGGTGAGAAGGGATTTTTTTTGCCCCTCAGCAGGCATGTGTGGGATGAAGGGTCTGTCCTTAGGGTGGCAAAGGATCTGATCCCCTAGCTCATTTAGGGTAACTCTTATTGTGTCTCTGTCACAGGGGGACTCAGGGGGCCCCCTGGCCTGTGAGAAGAATGGAGTGGCATACCTGTATGGCATCATCAGCTGGGGAGATGGCTGTGGACGAGTCAACAAACCTGGCGTCTACACTCGCGTGACCAATTATGTAGACTGGATCAATGACCGCCTTCGACCCCCCAAGCGGCCTGCAGATTCCTCCTAGGCCTCTGGGGCGTGGGGAAATCCTCCTTCTCACTCTCTCTACTGTGCTTACAATAAAGACATCTCCAGCATCAGCTTGCCAAGGCCCTCTGTCTTCTCTGGCCATGGCCAGTCTCAGGGGCTTGGATCAGGAAGCCAACATCTCAACTGACCTTCCTCAGTGGAGACTGGACCCACAGTCCTCAAGGGAGAGTCTCCTGTGGTCCAAGAAGTCAGGACTGGGTGACTCAAGCCTCAGCCCCCACTCCTCCAGGGGAGCTGTCCTCCTCGTAGCCACTGTCATGGGGCACCCTCCCCCACCTCTGACTGGTCCCCAGGCAAATGTGGGGCTGGAAACCCCAAGGCCTGGAAGCCAGGTGGCACACAGAACGTTCAAAGAACAAGAACCTAACCCAAGCCATGGTTGGAGAGGAGATTCCAACTCACAGCCACCTTAAAGAATAGAGTAGAGCTCCTTCTTCGGGTTTCTGAGACTGTGACTCATTTAGAGAGCAGAAAATCTCATCTTTCTTTCAAGGACCAGCTGGTGGGTTTGAACTGCCAACCTTGGTGTTAGCAGTCCAATGTTTAACCCAGTATGCCACTCCCAGCACCTCTCCAATCTCTGTGTAGCCTGCCCCATCCCTAAGTCTACGCTTTGGCCACTTCGGTCTCTGGTCTGTTCATTTGCCTGTGATCTAGAATGTTCTCTTCCTGTACCGCCTCCTCCCTCCCTCCAGTGCCAGTGATTCCTTGGTGGCCAGTCCCTCCATCACATATGTGTCCAAGCTGGGACTGGTGTTTATTTGCCCCATTATTGAGTTCTGTCCCCACCCTAGCTCTTCTGAAAGCTCTGTGGGGACAGGGCCACCTTCTTCTGGGTGTGCTCCTTGCTGCATCCTGGTGACTGGCCCCAGGTGGCCTCGCCCTAGGCATGCTGGGTGTGGAGCACACTGGCACCTCACTCATGCACAGAAGGAGGTAGCTTTATCGGTATACCAGCCCCTGTTCTGCTTCTGTTAGGATGTACTCAGAATCTGAACCGATGCCTTAAACTGACAGATGCGGATTTGCCTCAACCCAAGAAGCCCGGCAGTCAGTGTGTTTTCTGACACTGGTCTTCCAGTTACCTACGCTCCCTTTATCAGGAAAGCCAACATTTCCCAGAATCCTCTTCACCATAGATGCCCGCTTAGCTCTCACTTAACTTGCTGCCAAGGATGCTGGGAAGGCAGATGCAGGGCTGCTGCCCTGGACTGGGTTTTCTAGAAAAGCAAAACTCATGAAGTGTCTGTAGGCACATCTCATTTTAAGCGTGCTTTGCTCTATTGCACTTCATTGAAGATTTGAGGCAACCTTGTATTGAGTAAATCTATCTGTGCCATTTTCCCAATAGCACGTGTTCATCTTGTGTCTCTTTGTCACAATGTGATGATCTGTCGTGCCACAGTGGGGGCTAAACAGAATTGCAACTTCGTTGGTTCAAACCCACCTGCCGCTCCGCGAGAGACAGAGGAGGCTGTCATCTGAGACAGACAGTCTTGGAAACCCCAGTGGAGCAGTCCTCTGTGTTTTAGGGTTGCTGTGAGTTGGGATTGGCTTGAAGGCAGTGGGTTTTGCTTTGTGTTGTGTTCCACTGTGGCAATTTTAACAATATAGCAAGGTTTTTCATAATGCTAGTATGCATTTGAAATCCTGGTGTGGCACTATAGGATAAGAACTAGACTTCTAACCACAAGAAGAGCAGTAGTTCAAAAGCACTAGCTGCTCCGCAGATACCCCATACAAGGCTGTCATGAGTTAGCCCCGACTAGATGGCACTTAACAACAACAATTGCTTATGTAATAGAATACAGTGTTGTAAACGTGAGTTTACCAATGTATCTGTGACTTGCTTTATTGAAGTGGCCTGGAACTGAACACACATTATCTCCAAAGTATGCCTGTGCTTATGAATTTGTTGTTGTTAAGTGCTGTTGTATAAGGTATAAGGTTTCCAAGGAGTGGCTGGTGGGTTTGAAACACCAACCTTGAAAGGGTTAGCAGTCCAGTGCTTATCCTACAGCACCACAATAGGACTCCAGACACATCGAGGGAGAGAGACGTATCTCAGGACATTCCTCACACAGTTGTAGAGGATTGTGAGAAAGAACAGCCTAAAATTAAACTCTTTGGGTCAGGTGTGAGGCTGACGGCTTCTCCTCATTCATGGAGCTATAGGCGTGGACATGCCTAAGACTGGCAGGTCTGATGGCAGGCTGCTGGCTCCCAGGTTACAGGGGCTGATGAATCCCAAGAGCCAGAGGTCAGATGCTCATGATCTGGATGCAGGATTCAGGGCCAGCCAGAGCCTTGCTGGAACATCCATGTTGAAGACAGTCCACACCTCAAGGAAACTCCGCTTCACGTGATCAGCTGCTCATAGCAGGTCTCCTTGTGGAGGTGATCACGTGATATTAGATGTCACCAGGAGGGAGGGGGTGGCCATCTCATTACCTAACTGCCAAACTGCGCCGTATCTGCCAAGTCGCTGTGAACCATGGCTTACCCAAGTTGGCACCCAAACTTAACGACAGTGGCTACTCTAAGTTCCACTCCACAGTCCACTGTATGGGGCATTGGCAGCCGGGAGCAAAACTCGAGTTCTGATATTAATGAAGAGAGAGAGACAAGTAGGAGGGGGTGCTCAAATTCTGTAGGTTGGACTCAGTATCCTTGAGCTGACCAGAGTCCACTTCCTGTGCTTCCCTGCTGATCACAGCCTAGGACAGTAACTGTGGGGACAGAGGCTGCTGGCAATGTCGCAGATGTATGGAGGGTGGAGTAGCTCCTTCTGAGTGTGGGCATTGGAAAACTGTATCACTCATTGGTCTCCCAGACTTCTCATGTTACCAAGAGGGACCAGTGCCTGGAGAAAGACATCACATTTGGTAAAGCGGAGGGCCAGTGAAGAAGGAGAAAGACCTTTGACAAGATGCATTGGCACAGTGTCCACAGCTTCACAATGGTGAAGGTGGGGCAGTGTTTTGTTCTATTCTGCATTTGGTTGTTATGAGTCGGAACTGACTTGATGGCACGTAACAAGAGCAAAAACAAATTTTTCTTGCTTTCTCACTTTGTGATCTTCGTAGGCTGGTTGCATTCTTTCCCTGGAGATCACTGATACCTTCATAAGCACCAATAAAGTATTGTTACAAAATCATAATAACGTTTATTAACCAAAATGATCCAAATGTGATGCTATCATTTCTCATCGTACCCTCAGCCTGGGTCTACACACTGCTGAAGGTGTTATTTCCACTTCCTAAACTTTCCTCCTAAACTTCGTCTGTCATACTTTGGACATATTGTCAGGAGGGAACAGTCGCTGGAGAAGGATATCATGCTTGGTAAGATGGAGGGCCGGAGAAAAAGAGGAAGAGCCCCAATGAGATGGAGTGTCCAGGTGGCATCATTGATGGACTCAAGTGTGGCAGCGGTAGTAAGGTTGGCCCAGGATCGGATATTGTTTCTTTCTGCTGTACATGGGGTCGCTATGAGTCGGTTCCAACTCGATGGCATCTGACAACAACAACAACAAACTTTCCCCAGATAATTCTGTGCTTTCTGATTCACACCACATCAAAATAGAAATTTTGGGACCCAGATTGGGTTACTTTTCAATGTTCTTTGAGTCTGGAGCACAAAAAGAAGTCTTAAGGAGCAAGATCAGAGCTGGAGCGTGGATGAGCTGAAATCCCCAGTGAAATCCTCCTAGGACAGTCCTTGCTACCCTTAAAGAGGAAGCACATGCACTGTTGTGATGGAAAGCCATTTCCCTTGGTGCAACTTCCCTGGCCTTTTTTCATGAGGGCCTTTATTAATTTTCTGAAAACTTTTTCATCTTGTGTAAGCCCTCTGTGATCATTCTCAGTCCTTTGAGAAAATCTATCAAGATTATAATTTTGGAATCCCAAAAAGCAGTTACCGTAAACTTCTTGAGAACTGGCCTCTTTGCCTTGAATTTAACTGACCCAGATTGGTTTATGTTACATGCTGTTGAGTTGGTTTCAACTCATAACAACCCTGTCTAGGGTACCCAAGGAACTTCTGGTGGGTTTGAACTGTCGACTTTTCTGTTAGCAATCCAATGCTTACCCTACTGCACCACACCAAAGGCCCAATAAAAATCACTGTTGTGATTGGACCCTTCTTTTAACGACACCCTATCAAGACTGAGACACGTATGAAGGTGTCTGCATTCCTTCGATAATCACAGAGTCATACTAAATGTGTCTTGTTTAGAATAAACCTGGGCATGTGTGAATTGGTTCCCCAGGAGCAATTCTTTTTGACTAACTCTCATACATGAGACTCTCCTGTGAGGTTCCAGTGACCACTAGCTCCTTTGCCCTTCACACCTAGGAGTGCTATCTGCTCCTCAACTATAGAAACCTACCTAGGGTTATTGAACGGTCCTATGTGGTTCCCCTCACCTTGACCACATCCCTGTAAATAAATAACCATCCAAAGATGAATACATTGCGTCCTGTTGGGACTTTGGCTGAAACATGTTACATTTTTTATTTGATTTTATCTTGTGTAAGAGTTTTGCATCTATGTTTACAAGCAATATTGAATTACAATTTTCTTAAGCTCTTTGAATGATTGCTATTAAAGCTATACCAGTCTCACAAACACTGAAGCCAGTGAAGATGAAATAGAAGAATTCTACCAACTTCTTCAGTCTGAGATCGATCAAACATGCAATCAAGATGTATTGATCATTACTGGCAATTGGAATGCAAAGGTTGGAAACAAAGAGGAAGGATCAGTAGTTGGAAGGATCATTATGGCCTTGGTGATAGAAATGACACTGGAGATCACTCTATAGAACTCAGCAAGACCAATGATTTCTTCACAGCAATTTTTAAACAACATAAAAGACCGCTACACACATGGGACCTTCATTTGCTGATGGGGTTTATTAACATGAAAAGGGCAGAACAAGGGGTGTGGAGAGGGAGAGAGAGTTTAGAAACA